CACACACACACACACACACACACACACACACACACACACACACACACACTCAAATATTATACTCTTTTATAGCCGCCATTCCCTTTCCCTTCTCGATCTCTATTTCTACCTCTCCATCAGTCTCTCATTCTCTCTCTCTCTCTCTCACCTCCTCTCTCCCCCTCTCTCTTCTGCTGTGAGCTCACAGCTCGTCTGTTGTCGAGTCGCAGCTGGCTGCTTAACTAGCCGGCGCGATACTGAGCTGGCACGCTGTAATTGGTTGGAGGGGAGATTTGTGCAAACACTCACGAAATGAGCGCAATGGATTTACGCAAGCTAGCTGCAGCCGACGCGCGAAATATAGGGAGAAGAGCGAGGATATATATATATATCAAGAGTGCATAATATCTCTATTATGCACTCTTGATATATATATATATATAAAATAAATTTAAAAATAAAAATAGGTGTCAACATTTTATTACGCGAGCTTTCGAGAACATATATGTCTCAGAATGAACATATTCGTCAGGCGAAAATAACAGAATGTATATATATATATATATATACACATACACACATATATATATGTATATATATATATCACAGATATTATCAGGATGTGTATATATAGATAGGCCTATATCAATAGCTAATAATACATTATAAATATATATAAATATATATCACAGACATATCAAACATATCATATATTATGTATCAATGCGCACACGAGTCCGAAAATGTTTCTGTGAGTACCTTAGAGAGTGGCTTCTGTTGAACTCGTGCCAAACAAACAGTCGCGTATAATTTGTTCCGCTAGATGGCGCCATTGTTTTACGTATAGGGATTAACATCTGCGCTCTTTACGCATTTTACGCTCTCGTTCGTTCTACGACTTCCGCATATGCAGGTGAAGCGAGAAAACCGACTCGCTGTTTCGCAGAGGATTTTTATCACTACGCTTAATCCTAATCTGATGGTTATACGAAGAAAATCTTCGCTGTTACTGTATCGCGTAATAAATATCACACTGTTACATCAGCGCCACATGGCACGCTCGTGACGTAAGAAGACGTGGTCGTCTGCTGGGTCGCTGGTACATGTACGTCACAGTGTTACAGTGACATTAACCAACATTCCACCACTGCTTCGCTGCTCCCCCGCTCCTGCCGTCGCCATGACGGAGTTGATTCGATGAGTCGCGGCTTGTAAGGTTGCCGCCGGCGGTGGCAAGGCGACCCACAAACACTTACCCGCGATTATTGGCACACGGATTGATTGGCTGATGTTTACTCAATAACCTGTTACACCCCCCCCCCCGCCGCACTTAGTACGCGCATCCCCTGGGAATTCATTCCGTACGGATTAGGGGTAAGATCGGAGTTTGTTTCCGTCGCGCGAGTTGCTGTCCTCTTGTCGCGAAGGGTTCGCAGAACGTTCGTATCACAGGCATTTGGAACGTTTCAATAGCAAAATGATGGTAAATAAACACGAAATGTATTTACTACCAGAGTTTAAACAACAAGAATAAAGAGTAACAAGAAATATTCAGGAATTACTCTTTATTCTTGTTGTTTGTGCACAGCGGCGTGCGTGCGGTATACTTGTGTGTTGCAGAGGAGGATTTGAACGGCCTTTACAGGAAATTATCGGCAATAATAGGCGAAAGAGAGTGGAAAAACATTGGGACTTTGGTAGTAAATACATTTCGTGTTTATTTATTATTATTTTACTATTGAGTGCATTAACATTTCAAGTGTCTGTAGTTTGTATAGTGTGGCGTGATTTTATGAACTAAACGGGGGTTTGGGAAGCGCGTGCGAGGTTTTCAATCTACATGCATGGCCACACCGGTGTTGGTGAATCATCCATCCTACCTGAAGCAACCATAGCTCTGGTGGTTGGTTCGCTTACCTAAATTCGCAAACAACTTGACAAAATAATGTCATAAATGATCGCCAAGGTCTCACAGGAAGCAACACAAATATAATGTTAGTATAATAAAAAATAATAAAATATAATAAAAATAATATTAGTAGGACGTCATCGCTTATACATAACGTGACGGCATCGGGCCGCGCCCACTCGCCCGCATTGATTGTTAGTTGTTATTGTTATTGTTTACTCCTCCGCAGGTCGCTACAGTGCAGCCGCATCTCCATACACAAGAATCTCGCCGTCGCCTTTCTCATCCGCTTTGTCTTCCAGCTAGTTTTCATCGAGCCGTATTTCTCACAGCGACCAAAATCTTACAGAGACATAGTGAGTAAAAACACTAAGTATCACAAATAGTCAAGTTACATTATATAATGTTTTGAATAGATAGACAAATGTATGTAATATGTAGATAAATGCGTACAAACATATGTAAACATGCATTCTAAGTTTTCGCAATTTGACTGTATTCGTGTCTTAACGCTACATGGCTAGTCGTGTAAAAAAAGTAAAAGTAAAAGTAAAAGTAGTAGGGCCAAGCTTATACCTAGATGTTTTCGTATATCTTAGCTACCTACCGTGTGTCTTTGCGCTAAATGGCTTGTTGTGTAAAACCTGCTACCTCAGCTCATACTTAGATGTTTTCGTATATTATTGCTACCTACCGTGTATATTTGCGCTACATGGCTAGATGTGTAAGACCTGCTACCTTAGCTCATACCTAGATGTTTTCGTATATCTTGGCAACCTACCGTGTATCTTTGCGCTAAATTACTACCTACCGTGTATCTTTGCGCTACATGGCTAGATGTGTAAGGCCTGCTACCTTAGCTCATACCTAGATGTTTTCGTATATCTTGGCTACCTACCGTGTGTCTTTGCGCTAAATGGCTTGTTGTGTAAGACCTGCTACCTTAGCTCATACCTAGATGTTTTCGTACATCTTTGCTACATACCGTGTATCTTTGCGCTACATGGCTAGATGTGTAAGACCTGCTACCTCAGCTCATACCTAGATGTTTTCGTACATCTTTGCTACCTACCGTGTGTCTTTGCGCTACATGGCTAGATGTGTAAGGCCTGCTACCTCAGCTCATACCTAGATGTTTTCGTACATCTTGGCTACCTACCGTGTGTCTTTGCGCTAAATTGCTTGTTGTGTAAGACCTGCTACCTCAGCTCATACCTAGATGTTTTCGTATATCTTGGCTACCTACCGTGTGTCTTTGCGCTGCAGGACTGGTTGTGTAAGACGCTGACTACGCTCAACCTATTCTCTATGATGGCCAGCATCTTCTGGATGTTCGTAGAAGGTCTGTTTCTCCACAACAGGATCGCTGTGTCCGTGTTCGATACGGAAGCTCCCTTTCTACTCTTCTACTTCATAGGATGGGGTAAGTCTATGCCCAGGTTCAGCCGCGAGCTTGGTAATAGAGAGGTGGTGGTAATCTTTGTAATGGGATATGTTTCATTATAGGACCAAGCTCTATGTCATAATAGACTCTAGATTATAGACTATGTCATAATAAACTCTAGACTATAGACTCTCTACATAATAGACTCTATAATAGACATTTCTATTAGGGACTCTTGATAGGATGTAGTATAGGTATGTAAGATATGGGATTTTAAATAATAGTCAATGTTTGCCATGATAGGATAAGCTTTATAAGTTTTATAAGCTTTATCATGTGATTGTGTGTAAACTTTGCTGTAGAATAGAGCCATAGCCTTTATCGGTGGCACTGACTCCATAATCATTTGATCACGTATGATTCGCGATAAGCGTGAAACTAGCTCCGTATTAGGGTGATTGCAACACGAGCCATCATCGATTATAATAGGCTTAGTGACGCACGAAGGGTCGTTGTCGTATAATTGCGTATAATATCAGGAGCTAATAATGACAAATTTGCCATTATTAGCTCCTGATAATATGTACCCGGGGTAACTATTTGATATGGTTAGGGTTAGGGTTAGGGTGTTAGGGTTAGGGTTAGGGTTACGATTAGAGTTAAGGTTAGGGTTAGGGTTAAGGTTAGGGTTAGGGAGTAGGCGTAGGCGACATACTCGCCGACACCTCGGTTACTACATATACGACAACGACCCCTTCAGCCTTAGTGACAGCACCGTCAGCTATAAGTGTACGTGAGGATGTGAAGAAGATCGCAAGAAATTCATAATCATTATGTAGACACGGCCTCTTACATTAACGCTATTCCTAACTCTAAGCCTAACATTTACTATAACACTAAGCTTACCCTAACTACAACCACAGCGCCCACACGAACTCAACCCTAACCCCAACACCAACTCAAACATCAACCCTAAAGCTAACCCTAACTATTACACTAACCCGCGCCCTAACATGTTAACGCTTACCTTAGGCTTCTATTAAACCCCAGTCCTAACGCGGGCTAGTTGTATGTTTACTGTGTATGGTGTTATTGTGAGTGAGTGAGCTTAGTTGGTTAGTTATAGTCAGCGGGCTTAGTGTGAGTGAGTGTCTAACTGCGCGTCCGTGTTTGCGCAGGTTTGCCGTCCGTGTTCACGGTAACCTGGGCGCTCGTCAGAGAGCTGGCCTACACTAACGAGGTGGAAGTAGACCTGAAGCGCTATATCAACGATGAAGAATGCTGGGGAGGAGACTTCGAGGGTAGAGCATCCACGTGGATCCTCGTCGCTCCGGCCATGTTAGTGCTCGTGGTAAGCTCCATCCGGCCATGTTTGTGCTCGTGGTAAGTTCCATCCGGCCATGTTTGTGCTCGTGGTAAGTTCCATCCGGCCATGTTTGTGTTCGTGGTAAGCTCAATCCAGCCATGTTTGTGTTCGTGGTAAGCTCAATCCAGCCATGTTTGTGCTCGTGGTAAGCTCAGTTCGGCCATGTTTGTGCTCGTGGTAAGCTCCATCCGGCCATGTTTGTGCTCGTGGTAAGCTCAATCCAGCCATGTTTGTGCTCGTAGTAAGCTCAATCCAGCCATTTTTGTGCTCGTGGTAAGCTTCATGCTAAGGTAGAGACATGCACAACTGCAGCTATCACAGACGCAGAGGTAAATAGAGACGAAAACAGAACGTAGACGGACATAGATCGAGAGACAGAGACAGACACTGGGTAAACAGGTGGACTTTCAGGCGATCATTGGCGACGTACAATAGCACCGATACACACACAGAATCAAGCGCGCCCAAGCATCAAACATCTAGCTCGGCAAAGCTATCGCTCGCCATCGGTACCTCGTGAGATTCCCTTACATCCTAATACATCTTACATCCCGACATAAGAGCAGACAGACTCGTACATCTCTCCCTGAAAGTATGATTACGCACTAGTAGGACCGCGAATTTGGGGGAGGGGGCAAACCGTTTTCGTTAGAGCACGAACTTCTGCGCTTTATAGTCTCTGTTATTTTCATCGTGGACGCGCCACTCTAAATGCTGATTGCTGTTGTGGGTACGGATTTCATTTTTTTGCGACAGTTTCGTAAAAAAACACACGAAAAGACGCGTAAATATGCGCGTGTAAAATTCGATATGATTGACGAAGAAAACAGATGGCCAAGGAGCTAAATATAGAGATGACGACAAATCCAGAGCATGTCCCGTATGACACCCTCATGAAGTAACTGAAACGTCCCCTGCGATGTACGATTTAACAAGAGAACGTTAGACTATTGTGACTAGGAATCCCAGGTACGCGGGGGGGGGGGGGTGAGTATACGCCATGAGAAAAAAAAACATCCGTTTCACGTACGCGGACAGGAATTTTAGATAAAGCCCTACATGTCAACAGAATCACGACGGCGATGACATAGAAGTAGCGGCGTTCTGATCGGCTATACGTCCGGCCCGGAGTTTGATTAGTTTTAGAAATATTGTTTTTTTGGACTTTCAGATAGAAGAAAAACGTACTTTTCAGACACACACGCACACACACACACACACACACACACACACACACACACACATACACACACACTGCTTCTGTTTCTCTCGCTCGCTCGCGCTCTGTCTCTGGCTCGGTATCTCCCCTTCTCTCTTTTTTTCTCTCTGTCGTTTTATCTTCATATCTTTGTTTGTCTTTCTCTTCTTTCGCAATCTTCTTTCCCAGTCACTTCATATATATATATAATCAAGAGCTTATAAAGAAGGTAGAAGAAGAAGAAGAAGAGCGTATAACTTCTTAATACGCTCTTGATATAATAATACACCTATGAAAGCTGTAAGGGTAGAAAATCCTTCGTAATCGGATCTCTGCCGATTGCGGCCTACACATTTTCGTGTGAGGAGTATCAGAGATTGTCTAGTCGCAGAATAGCGAAACACAAATAGTGCAGTATGAGCAATCGACAAGCGCGAGTTCTGTACCTATGGAACTGTCAGACGGACACGCATCGCGTGGTTAGATGACAGCCCCGCGTATTAACGTTTATATTACGAACTAATATAAAATACAGTATATGGACAGTCTGGTTAGGACTGTTGGAGGAGAGGGAGGGGGACATACTGCTGCCAGTCTCTTACTGATGACGAACGATAGAACACAGTGACGATCTGCGGTAGCTAACGTCCAGATGGATGTGACACCCTGCATGTGATGATGATACGAAGTAATTAATAGACGATCAGAACCTGGGTTGTAGCCCGGACAATTTTAGTGCCTGCTAATGTCAGCGATTGTGAGCGTAGTGAGCGGAGGGAACGTGTGCTTAGCCAGCTGTACTGAATGTACTGTGCGCTGTACGATGTGATCAGATGATGATTTTACGAATAATTATTGTTGAAATTAAACTCAGAGTTGTTTTTTTAAATTAATTCCAAGTGTATCCGTTGTGATTATTTGTAGATTGCTCACTATTTTGAAGGTAATTTTACACAAACTCGATCATTTTTGTGCCGGTCGGAAGGATGTTATTTAAAGCTGCGTGCCGGTCGGCCAACACCAGAGCCGGCAATTACCGACCGGCGCCGACCGGCGTAGCTACAACAGTGATCAGAACTAAACAAAAAACGAAATGTTGTTTGCGCGCTTAACGACGGAGCAGACGACATCTTGCGCGTAAATCTCGGATACGCGCATACGAACCAAACAAACAAACAAGAAAAACACAACCACAACTGCAACAACAACAGCAGCAGCAGCAACTACTAACTATTACTACTACTACTACTACTACTACTACTACTACCACCCCACCATCACTACCATCACCACCATCAACACCATCGCCGTCGCCGCTACTGCTACTACTATTACTACTACTACAGCAGCAGCAGCAGCAGCAGCAGCAGCAACAGCAGCAACAACAATAACAACAACAACAACACCTACTACTACTACTACTACTGCTGCTACTACTACTACTACTACTACTACTACTACTACTACTACTACTACTATTACTACTACTACTACTACTAATCTCGCTCTCGCTCTTTCGCTCTCTCTTTCTCTTTCTTTCTCTCTTTCTCTTTCTCTTTCTCTCTCTCTCTCTCTCTCCCTCTTTATATATATATATATATATACCCTATCTGTATTCGACAGGATTTGCTTATAGACACTGCAATGAGGCAGGGATCTGGGCCCCGAAGACGAATTACAACGAATGCCTGGTGGGAATGCCTCCCGAGTTCCGATACCCGGTAAGATATCCGCCTAGCTATAACACGGGAAAACATAGACCCGTAAATATAGAAAAATGTATATAGAGAGAAATTTTCGCTATCATGTTTATGTCAATGCCGATATTACCGCAGTATGGCGCCACCGTCGATACGAACAACACTCGTTGCTTGGTTTTATTATTTTTATCTTGACTTCTCGATCGTTCGTCGATGTTACACGACAGTGAAATATGTTTCGACCGTGTTTCTGTCTCGAAAGATTGATTCTAACTATCAAATGCTTAAAGATAATTGCGTGGATGGGGGGCTTAGAATGGGCATATATTATACACGCACGCATATGCATATATCGATGTCTCGATGCTCTAATGCGCAAAATCGTCATCATTTATTGCGGTAATGGACGCCATTATTTTACAATGGCGCATGCGCACTGCGCGGCTGAGCTTCTCGCCGGAGAGCCGCGGTTGGTGATAGCGATCTCTTATTGACTGTTCGCGTAGGAAATATATAGCAAGGCTGCCTGATGTCTCATCCATCAAGCATTGTAGCGCTTCCCGGTCGCTGGAGGGCATCAACCACTAACAACAACACGCCAACACACATATGCGCGCACAAGCACACACACACACGCGCGCACACACACACACACACACACACACACACACACACACACACACACACACACACACACACACGCGCGCACGCGCGCGCACTCTCACACATACACACATGCGCGCGCGCTCACAAACACACACACGCGCGCGCACACACACACACACACACGCGCGCGCGCGCACTCACACACGCACGCACGTGTGCACGCGCGCACGCGCGCACGCACACACACGCACATGCACACACACACACGCGCGCGTACAAACACACATACACGCGCGCTAGCGCGCACGACAACAACAACAACGACGACTACTACTACTACTACTACTACTACTACTACTACTACTACTACTACTATACTACTATACTACTACTATTACTACTACTACTGCTACTACTACTACTACTATTACTACTACTACTACTACCACCACTACTACTACAACAACAACTACAACTACTACTACTACCACTACCGCTACCACTACTGCTGCGCAATTAACCCCACACCTCGTGCGTGCGCGCGTGCGTGCGTGCGCGTGTGTATCGTCTGCAGGTGAATCTCATCTTCCTCGTCAACATCATCCGCATCCTCGTGACGAAGCTGCGAGCGAACAACGCGCGCGAGTCGGAGGCGGCGCAGTGGCGCAAGGCGATCAAGGCTACGGCGATCCTGCTGCCGCTACTCGGCATCACGAACCTGCTCTTCTTCTACAATCCGAAGGACAAGGGTCCCATGGAGAAGGCGTATCTCTTCATCAACGCCTTGCTGCAAAACTCGCAGGTAATGACTGCGGGACCTCTCGCGAGAACTCGCACGATAGTGTATATAGTAGTACAGTGTGCGGGAGGCGATGTGGGGCTTGTTTTTGCTACACGCTTGCAGTCACTGCTATCATTCACGCTGTTCGATTCTACACCTATTTCGTGTGTGACTATCGAAATAGGATACGACAACGTGTGTCATTGTGATTCCAACTAATGCCTTCAAATAGGCGGGCGGCTGCCGACGTTCCAGTTAGATCGAGTTACGCGAGTTAAACCTCACTTCTTATAGTTGCATTCGTCTCGTTTTGTCCGTCTCGCTGGCAAGGCTTACCGTTCAATACTGCGGTACGTGACGGAGAGTGGCTAGCGTGTTATAACGGAGTGTTTTAATGCAATTTTCTTACTTATTCTTCGTACAGGGAATCTTCGTCGCTGTACTCTACTGCTTTCTGAACGCAGAGGTTAGTAGTAAGCCGTAAACGTGATAGTCTACGGCAAGCCGATACCCGCGCTCACTGCCTCCGCTCTGCCTCTGATGTTTAAGATTCTCATTGAAATTTACATTCTAAATATCATTTAGCTTTTTTACGATTCATTGAAGCGTATCAGCCTTCAATCATTGATATTTTCAATCCATTATTTGTCCTACACTCCGGAGTATTCGTCGAAGGTTCTTAGGAATATATTAATATGAATGCAATGGATTTGTTGCATCATATATTGTATAATTCCCCATCTACCATCTACAATACGAATGTTTGCGACCATGTTTCTGTGACGCGTTAGCATATACCATTACTTACCCATGCAGACATATAATCTATAATCATAGAAATCATACACCCTAGTATCACTACATAACTACATAACTACATCACTCCACTACATCAATGCCATTTTATTATAATTTTAATTTAATACGAATAATATTATATTATTACTGTCCTACTATTGTTACTACTATATTAATGTGTGTGTGTGTGTGTGTGTGTGTGTGTGTGTGTGTGTGTGTGTGTGTGGGTGTGCGCGTGTGATGTGTGTTGTGTGGTGTGGTGTGTGTGTGTGTGTGTTGTGTTGTGGTTGTGTGTGTGTGTGTGTGTGTGTGTGTGTGTTTGTGTGTGGTGTGGTGTGTGGCGGTGAATTTGTGTGTGTGTGGTGTGTTGTGTTGTGTGTTGTGCTTGTGTTGTGGTGTGTGTGGTGTGTGTTTTGTATTTGTGTTTGTCTGTCTGTGTGATCTGTGTGTCTGTTTTCTCTCTTCTCTCAATCTCTGCTCTCTCTCTCTTTCTGTTGTGTGTGTGTGTATGCGTGCGTGCGTGCCTGCGTGTGTGAGAGAGTGTTGTGTGTGTGTGTGTGTGTGTGGTGTGTGCGTGTGCGTGTGCGTGTGCGTGTGGTGTGCGTGTGCGTTTGTGCGGTGCGTGTGCGATGTGGCGTGTGTGCGTGTGCGTTTGCGTGGCGGGTTCGTGTGTGCCGTGTGCGTTGTGGCGTGTGCGGGCGTGTGCGTGTGCGTGTTGGTGTGCGTGTGCTCGTGCGTGTGCGTGTGCGTGTTTGCTGTGCGTGTGCGTGTGTGGTAGTGTGTGTGTGTGTGTGTGTGGAGTGTGTGTGTGGTGATCGCTGTATTACTGCTGTGTTACTAACTCAACCAATGTTTCGCATTCAGGTCCGCCAGTGCATACGGCGGCCGCTACGAGGCGCATCATGCGGCGTCGGCAGCACGCGTGGCGCCATCGCTAACATGCGCAGTAGAGGCCTCGCGCACTAGTCGACGATGTTCTTGCGCAGTCGAGCGGTCGCGCTCGTCCATCACGTCCGTTAACAATACATGTCGTCGCAAGAGCCGCAAACGCGGCGAGTGCGACAATAACCGCCTGCCGACCCGTGCCTCCGTTCGGCCGCCCACCTCTAACCCTGGTCTTCGGCCGCGAGAACGTCATTCACGCCGACGGCGTCAAACACGTATCATGCTCGACAATCCGACCGCGCGACGGTCGAGAAGCAACCGACTACTACGCGCACGACGCGCGACGAGCGTCTAAGTGTAGCAACCGCGGAAATGGCGAGAGCGTGACGTCAGCGTGACGAAGGCGCCATTTCTCCAATTACGGCTTGCCGTCCGCAGCTATGATAGAGTAGGTACGCGTCCGAAAGATGAGAGTCAGTGCGTCATCTAAAGACAGCCTTACGCGTAAAATCTTGTAACGTAACGGCTGGCGTGAATCATACATACAAGCTATTGTAGAACGTTGGGAGGGGAGCAAGTGTGAGGAAGAATGTTACATACTGCGGTACATAATATGCTATGCGCATGCATGGTGGCGTAGATAAGCATAAAAATGCGTTAGCGACCGCATATAGGATTCAACGTGTCCAACGGTGATGATACCCTAACGTCGCATTTACGTCACTTCACGTCACGGCTGCCGCGACATGGCCCGTCCGACCTACGGCGCCGATTTAGTCCGACGCACGAAGAAGCGGATCATATCGAAGTACATGTTCGATATATAGAATCACTGTTTTCGCTAACTGGCCGCCGTGCCTAGCCGCGAGGCGGTATGCAGTTAAGACAACGAAGTGAGACGTAAAGTGAAATGTCGCAGAAGTGCATATAATTCATCGTGCGCGTCTAGACTGGGCGAAACACGTCACGCGCGGGTGGCGATATCTCCGCATAGCTGCTACATGATTAAATTAATTAAGATACTACTCTGATATAATGCATATCGCGTGAATTCTTTTTATAATGAGAACATGATTTGGAGCATTATTAAATGCTGTACATAATATTCATTTATTTATAAATATATGTATATATATACATATATAATTATAGTATAGATATAGTCCTGATTATATATAACTGTTTGGTTGTTGGTATAAACCAAAATCTAATAACGGGTTGAATTATTGATTAGTGGAACGTGTGATTATTTAAAAATATATAATTTGTGAAAAAGCGAGAGCGACTATCGCGGGTCGCGCCTTGTCGCAGCAAGGCTGTAATGGCAAGTGCTGTAGCTGTACACCACATGGGGATAAGGTTGACCGCCGCCGCATCCAATATTTTTTTTTTTTTTAAAAAAATAATATATTTTTTTAAAAATTTAAATTAACAAAATTACTACCTGGATTATTTGTATTTCCATAACTAGTCTACTATGCCCATGCTAGTCACTTGTGTTTCGTGAGTGAAATAAGCTATAAGGTGTTAATAATTAACACGGTTACTCTTGAGGAGATGCAGAGCGTATAAAATATATCGTATTGAAGTCGGCTGTCGCTATCCAATCGTGTAACCAAGGAGCTACGTTGTTATGGTGCTGTGTGTGTGTGGGTGTGTGTGTGTATGGTGTGTGTGTGTGTGTGTGTTGTGTGGTTGTGTGTGTGTGTGTGATGTGCGCGCGCAATTGCCCTAGTGTATAATCACCGAACTTTATATATATATAAATATATATATAATAAATATATCTTAAAATATATAAATAAATAATATACTATATATAATAAAAAATAAATAAAGTAAATATATTATATCTACATTAATATATAATATATATAATATATTGATAGGACGTAGAAACGATTATTGATTGAATAACTGTGACAATGTGCGCGCAGCCACGGTTCTTTTCACCATCGCTTTGCTAAGAGAAAGTATGGGTGAACGTACGAGGGCTGCGCTACTGGCACCTCCGCCCTATAATGACCCCTACTACACGAAGCAGCGCGATAAGTCATTGTAAGAGCTGTTGTTACACGGGGAAACGGCAAGGCGGAACCATGACGATAAATTGTATAAAAATGTCGCAGTGCATCTGAAGCTTGCCTCGCGTGGATATAAAATCAGTATAAGAGAGCTTTCAGAGCTCATCCACGTTTACAATGCGCGATGCACTATATGGTAACAGACGCGGTCGAAATTGCGGTGTTCGCAGGCCATCTGTTTTCTGTACATGATGAAATAAAATTAAAATAAACGCCACGTGGGTAAGATATTACCGACACGAAGCATCGCCCCGTGTACCAGAGGCAGTGCTATACCTAAAAATAGTAACGTTATACTAGACACAATACTTATATGCCCATATAAACGTCCTCAACTATATAGCCCACTAGAGATCAGCCTACGAAGATTCGAATGAAAAAGATGCATTAACTGTAACTCATAAGCATCGCAACGTAACATTAAATTTGATGTACATATAGTAATTCAACAGCCAGCAACAAATACCATTCCTTCTATATATTATGATCAGACGAACACCTGCTCCGTGCCAACATATTCGCCAAAAAATGTTTGACATATGATATATAATATATCATATATATGGCGTGTCACGGGTTCATGAATGCCGCTATAAGTCCGCTTATACAGAATTGTTTGTTTGAACACATTGTCGTTTTTCACGTCGAATGGTAACTTATACGATAAGGTGCGGTCCTCCTATGTACACAGATATGCATATAGCTGCTATAGCGACTCAACTATGCAACGAATTATAAATCCGCATAATATAATAGCAGTTATAAAATAATACGCTCGGACTAATCATACAGTGATAAACTGAAAACAGTGAGTATCTTAAACACACTACACCACACGGCGCGCAGCGCAACACACGGCGCGCGCAGTGTATTGCTTGCGTCTGTGGGCGCTCACGCCGCGTGTGGTGTGTGGTGCTGGGTGTGTGTGATTGTGTGTTGTAAATTTGGTGTGTGTGTGTTGTGCGCGCGATGCGCTTGCGTTGCGTGCGTGCGTACGGCGGCGAGCGTGCGTGCGCGCCCAACTGCGTTTATATGACCGTGTGCGGTTGGTAAGTGTGGCGTGGTGTTGTGTGTTGTGTTGTGTGTTGGTTGTGTGTGTGCGCGCCAGCGCGCGCGCGTGTGTGTGTGTGTGTGTGTGTGTTGGTGCGCGCGCAGCGCATACCAGTGGTGTTGTGTGTGTGTGTGTTGATGTTGCGTGTGCGTGACGTGCGGCTCATGTTCGGCGATCGTCGCATGTGTGCGTATTGCGTGATGTCGAAGCGGCAATAGATACAGGGTAAAACAAAGAATGTCCACGTGGGCATCTTCAGTGGAGCGTCAATAACACGCGACTCTGTACAAAAATATCCTACATAATATCGCACATCAAACGCTACCTAGCGCGCCGCCCTGGCGACAGCACATACACGACGTAGTCATGACTATATCCATGCACTAAAACCGGGACTGGGGAAGTGAAGAGGGAGTGACAAACATTTTGGCGGCACCTCTATCAGCTAGTCAACGGCCGAACTCGTCGATGTGGAACTATAATAATATATAGATATATAATAGTATAATATATAGCGTCACAAATATATTTACGTTTATAGTTAAGACGCAACAAATGCTTGTTCGCGGGCATCTGTACTTATAAAATAAATGCGATTTGCGTCCCAGTAACGGTAAAACATCATATAATTAGAGCTGTTGCCTTATATATTCATTGTCTCCTCTCGACATCATTGACTACCTTATCGACTGGCGAGTATGTGCTGCACACCCGATCTGCGGCGCAAGCGACGGCGGAATTTACATGATAGCACACGGCAATTCGTTTTCCTTCCGCGTGATTTGCGTTAAATAGAGTTACATTGGCTTCTGCCTGACTATATAAAATTAACCTCGTTTATACACTCTTCAATCAATCAAATTCTGACGTGACTTGCGTGGCGGCTTAGTCGTTGTCAGGGCTCGAATGAACGTTGTAGCACATATTTGGCATCATCAATTTCACAGCCCTGTAGCTAGCTTGTATCCAACCCCCTACCTTGAGCGATGTTTGCATGGCAATCTTAAGGCTCGTCCCGGTTGTACGCTGAGTGTGCTTGCCACATTGCAATCAATGTGCTCAGAACTAAGAATTACCAGTGGAAGCTATATGCTTTGCGTGCAGGCGTACAAACACTTCCACGGTCAGCTGTCACCATCTAATATCCACCCTCGCGGAACTCAGCCGAAAGTCTGTCGGTCAATAGCGCATCTTACATGCGCGCATCAGCGCATGGCGAGATCGATCACGTATGTAACGATGACGTCATATAGCCACTGGTTTTAGTTTCCACAACGATGTGCTACCGTCGTACCGCCGCGACAGCCGTCATCCGATAGCGCGGTGACGTCACACTTGCCATTGTTTTCGTTCCAGAAGAATAGGCTAAACGTAAAGCGAGTCCGATGACGTCACAGGCAGGTGGCGTCTCTGCGTTTGAAGCTCTGGTTAACGTGGTTTGCACTTGTCCAACCGCGGTTCGAGATAACTGGTAAAAGGTAGAGCAAAAAATTATGAATTAGAGTCTGCTACGTTTAAAGCGTTACAAAGTAACAAATTCAGAAACGTTATATACATTGTGATAGATCTAAATGAGAAGGATATGTGCTTTTCTAAAGCGCTTTGAATATTTCTATGACACTCTCTTAGAGACAACATAATTTAATGAGCTGACGAATACAGATGTAATCCATTTTACAATTCAGTTCATGTGCCATAAAAACCATAAACCGGATGTAAATATTTATACAGCGTACAGAGTGACATTAGGGTTTAACAGATTTAAAAACAAAAACCGATTTATTTAATGGCGAATTTTACTGCAATGTTATAACATTGTAATACTGTAATTTGACTACGACAAAGGATCACTATTGTTAAATGTGTGAAATAAAGCACGCAGCTCCTCAAATTAAAAAAGCAACAATACAGGTCTATGTGGCAGCATGCTTGCCATAAGCCATTTCGAACAGTGCCGTAGCGCAACAATAAAATCCTTCCACGAAATTTTCAATCAGGATCTTTTTGGTTGGTGCGAGACCGGCAAAGTAACCAGCAAAGCCTTTTTTGTATTGTGCATTCGTACTGTCGAAAAAAAACCAATGATTATTAAATTCCTAGATTACGGCTGTATTTCGACATATACCAATACGACTTGTAGCACTGGTTTAACTGCGTAATAACATCGGCCGGGGGGGGGAACGGGCCACGCGATAATTCATTAGCCTGTGGATTCGAGGACCAGTCACGCAAGATGCTATTATTATGCATGCATGCAGAGAATACCAGGGAAGAGCGTTTGCATGTATGGCATCACATGTGGGCGTTAAAGGTTTCGAAGTGCAACCAAAAGACCGATGCGGTTCCTCATCGTGGAAGCCAGCATGTCACTCACTAATACCTTGAGATAGGTATGCGCAAAACGCGAGCTGCGCCTACAAGCTATACTGCTCGCGCTTTACGCCAATTAGACACGGATTAGTATGATTATAGAACACGGCAGCATGCAGCACTAGGGCGAAATACAAAATCGCTCGTGTGTTTCGACCGCATCAATTCAGCGTTCACGTAGACATTGATATCGGTTCTCAGCGTCTCAGTGCAACCAGAATCGTTCATAGACCAATGAAACATCCTGTCGCTGTCTTAGTCGTGGGATCCCCGCTGTTGCATCTACGTTCAATCTAGCTACCACGATACAGAGAGAACTGGGCTCGGGAAATAAACATCCGAACATCTGTGCCAATTACCACATGAATATTTCAGCAGCTAATAAATGCTGACACGTAGCTCCAGCTCTGTGACGTCAGCTATTTGACTCACATGGGCTGTAGGTGGTAGACGCTTCCTACTGGCTTTCCGAGACCAATCATCGAAGCTCATTTCAATTCCGCTATCTGGTGTG